GTGTGTGTATGTGTACGTGTGCGTGAGTGTATTAATTAATTGACTAAAAAGTTTATTATATTAGGTATTACATTAATTACATTTGGATAAATATTTTAAAGTAGTCTTTAATGTGTTCTAATCCAGTGTAGTGTAACTGAATTTACTATAAGTTGAATCAAAATTAAAGTTAAGTCAACGGTACGATATATTTTTCTCACTGGATATTTTTCCTGTGAATTGCTTGCGTTTTAATAAATTAGAATTGCACCACACAAAATGCAGTTCTTACAGTAATTTTTATTGAAACGCAAGCAATTCAGCAGAAAAACATAGATCATGTGTCACAGGCTTTAATCTACATTGATAGAAATTGGATTGTTGGACTATCGAAATAATTATATAGGATACTCAAACAGATTGTTAGTAGAGAAAACCGAGGGGTAGGGGGGGGGGAGGAGGGCTGGTTGTCAAGATGCTTATAATTCAAACAGGATGGCAGAAAAATTTCTTTTTTTTTACTGTAGATTGATGACACAATATTAATTTGTTGTGTATAATGATTTGCACCACAAGAATTGTATAAATAAATTGTATAATATTTATAGCGATTTTTAAGAAAATGAAGTTGAGTAAATTTTTCTTATCACCTATTTTGTTGTCAGATAAGTCTTTGACATTGTTAATCGCGATATCCCTATATTCATGGAAAAACATATCTTAGAAGATCTTTGTTACAATTAATTAATCATTATCCTGACAAAGTTTAAATATAATCTCTTTTATTAAAAATGATTATGTGAAGATAGATTGACCAAAATGAGATGAGGTTAGAGATGACAATTTTAATATCTTTAGAGAATATACTTACAAATATTTCATATTTCATATAGATATATATGTTTTTTCATTTTTCATACAAAAATGAAAACAGTATAAAAACAAATTATTTATGCTTAAAATAACTATTTTATTTGTATTAATATTACTATTATTATAATTACTATTATTTCTCAAAATATAAAACTGATATTAAAATAAAAATTGTACTTTTTATATATGTGTTGTCCATAACAAATACTGCCAATTTTAGAACGTGTAACAGTCAATCCAGAATATATGGGATTAATTGTCACATTTTCGCAGCTTCATTTAAAATTAAAAATTTATTTTCACTATGATAAATTCACGAGTAATATATTTTATAATACCTAAAGGATATTGGTATATCATAACGTATGTAATATTTAAAAATCAGGCATCTACTTTTTTCTAAAAATCACTAATCAAAAACTGACAATCTCGATCTTCCCTATGTCATAATTTTTTGCAATATTTGCTCATCATGTTTGAATTTCTTATATAAATAAATACATAAATACTTTGATGGTATAATATTAGAGCTAAACCAAGACATTAGCGCGTAGAAAAGTCGTTCGACATTCAAAATTCTAGCCCAAAAGACTACGATTCCCCTTCCGGTGAAAGGGAGGGGGCGGTAATGCTCGGAGATACCGTATATGTATATAGGCAACGGTATTGCTGCGGAGCGGCGGCCGATCGAGAAAGAGCTGTCAAGCGCACACCGGCCGCGCCGATCGACCTCGTGCATAGGACGAGAAAACGTACGTGACGCGCGGACGTCGCCTCCCGGGCGGCGCCGGCGCCGGCGTCGGCGTCGGCGTCAGCGTCAGCGTCGGCGTCGGCGTCGGCGTCGACGTCGGAGTCGACGGCACGCGGCCGCGGTCGCTCGCGAGAGGCGCGCATGAATGAAACGAGCGAGCGACTCTTTCTAAAGAAGAATACATAGGGGTCAATCAGGGTAATCTCGCGACGGCCAATGACAAAATTAATAATCGTCATTCTCTCGGACGACAGAATTGATAGTTGTGCTTAAGCGATCTTACGATGCCCGTTCAACGAATTTTCATCATTCGATAATTTCATAAATCACTATCGGCTTACCAACTATTATTAATCATTCTGTCAATGCGTAATTTTTCATCTTATCTCACTATAGTGACTTTTCGCAAGATTTCCATTAAAAATATAAAAGTGAAAACGAAATAAAGTCTGTGCAAAACTGTTGTCAAAACACGGAAAAAATGATTGTGTTAAGGTAAGGGTAAAGTTTAATTAAATATAGAGCTGGAACTAATTTCGTTGGACTATCTCAAAATAGTTATATAAAAACTGGTTGTTAGAATGTCAGAATTTTTTGCAGCATTGTTCATCATGTTTGAATTTCCTACATAATTATTTTAATCAGAATTGTCACAAATTTCTTATTTTAAAATTTCATAACTTTTCTTTAATTTCTAAACAAAATTTCATAATTTTACTTGATTTTCAATAATTCACATTTAAAAATGTTTTATATTTTTGTCTTGATTTGAAAACCGTATAAAAATTTTGAGAGATCAATTAACATATAATAATGTAAATTATTATTAATTGCTAACACTGCTTGCATTTTTAATTGTTAAGTTGGTAATATTCCAAAACTGTGCAGATATATAATGTACGTATATTAAATTTCTTTAAAGCTAAAAATTTTAATTTTTCAGAAAATTTTACAAAACTTTCTGACTTTTCGATGATTTCCCTCATTATTTCCAATTTTTCTGACAATTCCCTAATTTCACTGATTTTTAATTTTGTGGTAACAAAGTTATTTTCAGCTTTGCATCTACCTGAAATTTTTAAATATTTTAGTATAAATCGTAGTATATATCGTCCTTTCCGTGAAAAGGAATTTTCAAGACATCATAACGAAAATATAATCTGCACAAAAATATAAAATTGTTTACTATTTACGAATTTATGTGAAAAAAAGTTAAAAAAGAGTTAAAAGACGTTTCTCTAAATCCTGATTAAAGAGAGAGAGAGAGAGAGAGAGAGAGAGAGAGAGAGAGAGAGAGAGAATTAATCACGCAATTTGCTAAAAGAATTCTATCAATATCATGCAACATTTTTTAAATATATCCATTGTCTATTATCTATATATTAAAAAAAATAATATTTAAAAAAAAGACAATCAATGTGATAATCGAAAATTGACTACATGAAGCAATAGAAAATTTGATTAATAAATACGGAGATAAATTATGCTACGTATCTCATACAGAGAAAGATCTTTAGTAGTAGTGATTTCATCGAATCTGATAAAACTCTTGATCAGGCACAGATTATTATTCAACGATAATGGTAACGCTAATGCCAGATTTACACGAAGCCAGTGAAAGCAAGTCAAGTAGTCACGTTATTCAGCCACTTGTTCCATAATCATCTCTGACTACCTTTCCTCCCTATTGAATTTTGAATGCGAAACCAGCATTCAACTAACAAAAAGAGGACATACGGACTCTTCACGGATTTTGATCTTCAGTGTCAGAATGATGAATCTATATAAAAAATAAAATGTGCCATGTTTGAGTGTTTTGTTGAATAGGTATTAAGTAAATAATATTTTTTATATAGTAAAAAGAATGAGTACATAGTACATATATATGAGTATATAATATTTTTTAATATATGAAAGGAATCTAATCCGCATTAACTTTAATAGAATTTATAGAAAATTGAATGAAATGAATTAATTTTCACATAAACGTAATTTACAATGTGGCGATCAGAAAAGATCAACGAAAAGATCAACAATCATTTAATAATAAATAATTTTTAAGCTATGATGTATTTAAAGATGTTCTGCATGAGTACAAGTTTTACACCTATGATCATAGGTGTAAAACTTGTACTCATGCAGAACATCTTTAAACTATCCTTTATTAAATTTTGTGTCAATAACCTTTTGTTCGCTATATTACAAGTTACATTATACCTACATGAAAATAAACTCATTCCATCGGGATTCAATTTTCTATATAATTAGTGGGAAATTCTTTCACACATTAACACTAGAACCGCGGCTGTATTATTTTTTACATCCGATAATTTTATTTTTTCCAGTTAATTTTCATTAACAAAGCTACTATAATATAAATACAGACTTTCAAATTACAATACTTTAGTATCAATAAGAATATATTATTTCCAAAAATCATAATAGAATAATATGATAGTAATAACTCATAGTAGTTTTGGAGAAGGTCGAAATCGCGGTGGTAACATTAAAAAATAATACTTACAAGGTTTATTCACCAAAAACGTTCGGACAGGCCATAATTTGTTTTCGATGTAGGAAGATCATTATCATGCTGGAGGAGACCAAAATCTGTCCTTTGAAGGGTTCACTATGTCCTAAGTTTGTTCGTGTCGCATGCTCCAGCTTGCTCCAATGTGCTCCTGCTATAGTTCCTCATTTCCTACTTACTTCAACGAGTGCGTTAGAGTAAGTAAATGCTATGGTAGGAGCATTTTAGAGCATGTTAGAGCATGCGATGTAAACAAACCTCTATTCTTGTAAGTTAAGCCACCGCAATACAATGCTCGCCGAAATCAAGTGTTTCGAAATTCGGTGTCGAAACGAAGAAATCTCCATACAAAGGAAAGAAAGGGGTCTATTTGCTTCAATCGAAATAATAGTGAATCGACAACTCTTGTTACTCGCTACACTAATCTCCCTATCGAGTTCATATAGCTTTATAGTCCTTCATTTCTTTCAGGGAGGAAAAGTGAGCAAGCGAGCGAGCGAGCGACTTACCTCTGCACTCGGCTCGATCTGCTTTTACCGGCGTTCGTATATTCCTGACTAATGCCGGGTTTATGCTGCGAATAGTGGGGAGGTAAGTCGAGTGGCAAATTACTCGCTTACCTTCCCCGGCGAACGACACGACGACGATACAGAAGTTTAAGCTGAGTAACCCGCAATCATTCCCGTGCGTCTCAACGGGTTTACAATTTTCGCTATTTTTGGAGTAACCTACTGCACGCGATCCGTCCCCGTTTCCACCTCGGTGAAAAAAGAAAAATGATAGGGATGAGAGTAAATGATTTTTATAGCATTCGAACCATTTTATCCCTCCCGATGCCACCTTATTGTGAGAAACGACGAAACTCAC